GGGATGAGATTTTTTTTATAATTACCTACAAATGATAGCTGGAAGACTTCTATGGTGGTAGAAGATAGAGAAAATGGGTCTATCAGGGTTGCGATGTATCAAGATTTACCAGTGGAGAAAGCAAACCAGGGGAAACGGTGGTTGAGAGAGGATGAGAGAGTGATAGAGTGGAAATGCTTTATAAAGTGTACAGGGAAGATAAACCAGAAAATGAGACATTTTTGCAGAAATTTAAGCACGCAGACCAGGTCAATAGCCTAGAAACTTTGAGAATGAATTTGAATTTCAAAACTTTTGAATTACGTATTGACTTTTTGACTTTGACCAAATAAGATTAGATACTTTTTAATGCTTAAAATGGTTGTACATACTGTTGATTATCTTGTACCTCTTAAAATTCAGCAAAACATGGTAATTGCTTTTTAAGGTATATATATATATATATATATATATATATATATATATATATATATATATATATATATATATATACACACACATATACATATGGTTGAGATCGGTTGAGAACTCATAGTTTCCCGAGAACCTGAGAACTAAAAGTGGAGCGTTAGATCAAAACAAATTCATTAAGGGCATGATCGTAATCTTATCGATTTCATTTAATGTTTAATTTTTTGTGTTATTCTACATATTAATAGAAATGTCTAAAAAATTACATAATAAATCAAATTTTCAGATTTTTTTAAAAAAAAGTATTTTTTCAGTTTTTTTTAAAGTACAGATTTTTTAATATTTTAAAGAAAACATGAATTTTTGAAAAAAAAAATTATTTTTTTGCAGATTTTTAAAAAAATAGTATTTTTCAGTTTTTTTAAAAAATAGTATTTTTCAGTTTTTTTTTTAAAAAGTGCATATTTTTTAGTTTTTTACAGAAAACATGAATTTTTGAAAAAAAAATAGAAAGAAATATTTAAAAAAAAAAACTACATTTTTTTAAAAACATTTAAAAATCAATAAAAAAAACTGGAATATTTAAATTATACTATATTTTTTTAACAAAAAAAAGCAACATTTTTGGTACATTTATGCATATTTTTACAAATGCATATATGTATATTTCATATACTATAATATTTGTAAGAAAATCATAAGAAAACTCATTTTATTTACTAATCTATAAAAACAATACAATAAGTATTTTATTCGATACAATATAAAATATAAAAAACAAAAAAATGCTACAAAATTTCAAAGCATTTTCATGTCTTCATGTCAATATTTCCATATTTTCTTCAATTTATCATTTTCCACATCTTCAATATTCACCACAATTTCTTCCAAATCTACAAGAAAATTAAAAAGAATCTGATTGATGCAAAAACACTCACAAAAATACATATGTGATTTACATGTGAATCACATGTAATTCATATGTGAATCACATGTAATTCATATGTGATTTACATGTGAATCACATGTAATTCATATGTGAATTTCATGTGAATCACATGTAATTCATATGTGATTTACATGTGAATCACATGTAATTCATATGTGAATTACATGTGATTTACATGTGAATCACATGTAATTCATATGTGAATCACATGTAATTCATATGTGATTTACATGTGAATCACATGTAATTCATATGTGAATTTCATGTAAATCACATGTAATTCATATGTGATTTACATGAGAATCACATGTAATTCATATGTGATTTACATGTGTGTTACATGTGATTCATATGTGAATCACAGGTAATTCATATGTGAATTACATGTGAATCACATGTAATTCATATGTGAATCACAAATGAATCACCAAGTTAGTATGTGAAAAAATATGTACATGTATAGATACCAAGTTAGTAAACAACTATGTGAAAAAAATATGTACATGTATAGATACCAAGTTAGTACCTATATACCTGCACATTCCAGGTTGTTTATTGGTTTTGGAGATAGTATTGCATTTGGAGCTGGGGTGATTTCTATTTCTAGAGCCTACCATAAAACAATGTTATTTTGAAAAAATATTTTTCAAACAAATAATCAAAAACAAATTAAATAATACTATATACCTGCATATTGCCTATGTTGATAAAAGTTCAGATGTTGAAATGTCATTTGTAACAGATTTCTAGGATTAGTATCAAATCAAATAATATTAAATGGTTCTAAAAGAAACTTTAACAAATACAGGACAAAATCAAGGTAAAAGATCCAAATCAAACCTAGATATATACAATAAACCACCTTCAAAATCAAATAAGAACCAATATCACTAGCATATAGACAAAAAAGAATATATCAAACAGTAAAATTGTATTTCAAAACATCAAAACCAGGAATCAAATTGTTAGAGACACATGAAGGAAGAAACCTGTTGGTAAGAGCGAGTATCCCAAGCCCTGGCAGTGTCATCATGCGAGCTTATAAGGTCCATCAAAGTTGAGTGAATGCCCACATTTTGTGTATTGTATTCACCTCGATTAGATCGATGAAGGAACAATATATTAGTTCAAATCTAGACAAAATCGTGGATGTGCAGAGGTTGTACATTATGATATGGAAATTGTACCATTCAACTCTTTTTGGATCAATGAAGGATGAAATGCAATGAGGGGTGACCTGAAGCAAGAGTAAATAAAATTACATCACAATTATGGATACAATGATAATCAGAAAGTCCAAGAAACTCACTGATGTGGAGTTGATAAAGTGAGAGCAATTTTAACTGATGACTTTATCAAATTAGGGTGCACAACTGTAGCTCTAGCAACAAAACCACCCATAGAGTGGCCAACTAATATGACATTATTAGGCAAACTACCAGATTCAAAAGCACCTTCTTTTTCCAACTTTCTTTTCAAATCCAACATGGCAATTTTGGGAAGAGAAGCTACATCAGCAATGGCTGCTGTTGAAGGTCAACAGCAAAAAATTACACTTCAGAGATTAATTTCCATGGTATTATTATTACTATTAACTATTAACTATTAATAACACTATAATTCTCAAATTCGCAACTAATATGACACTAAATAAAAACAAGCTTAACCACAAAATTGAGATGAAATAATATTAGTTACCTCTGACCGATGAATGTTTCAAGAATAACTGAATCCTTGAATGCTAAATTGCACCTTCATATTGTTGATAATTGCCACAATGAAGCCTGGATTGTTCGATGATTTTAGATTTTACATCAATCAAAGCATGTTTTTGCATCATAACTCTAAGACAAAACAAAATTTTCAATTCAAACAAGAACATAATCAGAATAGGTAATTCTGAAGTGTAAAATCGCATATATACTAATGGCGGAATTAAAATACAATGAAAAATTAGAACCTGTGTTGTGCGAATATCCGTACATTGGAACGAATTCCATTGTCAACCATTAGAGTTCATTTTCTTAATCTCCTCTTCCAGATCTGATCGGAAACAAGGTCGATCGATGGAGACGGAACAGAGGCGATGAGGAAGGCGATCAACTGATGGGGTGATGATTGTCGGAGGGGACCATGGATTCTTAACGGTGGTTAGTTCAGAGATGCACATCAGACATTTCGTTTCAGTGATCCGCGGATGCCTAGCTCGGAGATGCACAACGCACATTTTGTTGATCTAATTTGGATCTGGAAAGGCACCTTTACTACCTTATTGATTTCATTAATGGCGGATCATGTAACCTGATGATTTTAGGGTTACGATTTTGTGTATGAACAGAACTAAGATCAATGTGGTGGAGATGATGGTGATTTTAAGGGAAGATCGGCATACTCGATGATTGAAACCGATGGTGATTAAGGTCAATCTAGGGCAGATATGTGAATCGGTGAAGAAGACGACGCGAGAGAGAGAGAGAGAGAGAGAGAGAGAGAGAGAGAGAGAGAGAGAGAGAGAGAGACGCAAATGAGATATTTAATGTGGGGAATTAAAAGAGATATTTGATTCCTAAAATGCCCCTGATTCATTTTAAAAACATACCCTCTGTCTTATTTTGTCTATGTATTTACAAAAATGCCACAATGCATATTGGCCATCATTTTTTGATCCAACGCTCCACTTTTAGTTCTCAAGTTCTCAGAAAACTATGAATTCTCAAATAATCATTCTTCTCTCTTTATATATATATATATATATATATATATATATATATATATATATATATATATATATATATATATATATATCGAATCCTCACAAAATGATAACCATCATCATAAAGTTAAATGTATTCAAGATCGATTTGGCGCAAAAAAGTAACTAAGAACGATTATGTAATATTTGGTATTTTTATTATACGTTTATCTTCCCAGTTTGATAACTTTCTATTTTGGTATTTCATAAATATTGTTATAAATTAAATGAAAATATAACTATATTTACTAAAAAAAATCATCTTAAAGAAATATATTACCAAAAATAATAACACGTAAAAATATAACAAAATACAATATGTGTTGTACCTTAATGAAAATATAACTATTTACTAAAAAAATCATCTTAAAGAAACATATTACCATAAATAATAACACGTAAAAATATAACAAAATACAATATGTGTTGTACCTTACGCGCTTGAGAAAAGGTGAGGATTTATGTTGTTTGAGAAGTTAGCAGCAGTCTTGACAGTACTAGAGATATAGTTGTAGCAACCCTAGAGAACGGAAGAGGGTAGTGTGGGGGTTCTCTCATGTGACTTTAAAAGCTCTTCCCATCCACAAAAAACTACAAAAAAACTAGATAAAGAAACTCTTCATACCCGTCACTCTTCGATTATTGGAGAGAGAAATTAAACCCCAACCCACCAAAAGTCTCTCGCTTCCCAAGAAGACGCCATAAAAGCTCACGAGACGGAGAAGATCAAGAACCAATGAATTTATGATTTAGTTTGTTGCAGTGGCAGTATCTTCTGATCTTACTGAAAATCTCTGTATATCATCTCTTGCTGTCTGCAAATCTAATAATTGCGCTTGTAAGCTAAAGTAGATCTTCTCGGATCTTCGATTTGTATGTTTCAGCCCTATGTTACAAAGGGTTTGTAGATTGTAAGATAAAAGTTCCAGTGAGAAGAAGATTAAAGGAAGTTATAATAAATATTGTAGTTGTGGCTTCTAGCAGGAATACTAGGCTGCCTTCTGATTCAGGTGCGTTTGCAGACTGGGTGGCTAATCCTTCGTCTTCCTCTGCTCTCAGACCTTCTGATCAGGACCTCTCCTTGGGCTTCAATGCCGGTTCCGCCGCCCCTGGTGGAGGCTCGACGGGGATTTGGTCGTCAGCCTCTGCTCGGCAAATCAACTATGGTGTCCCAGCTGAAATGGGTATGTTTGTCGTTGCTCCCTCGAGCCATCATCTTTCTGATCATGCACATGCTCACTCTCTCAACGCACCATTCTCCAATGCTTCCACCGCCACTGCGACGGCGCTTGGCGTTGGTGTCATCCCGCTTATATCCGCCACCCCTTGTCTAGATGAGGGTATGGTGGGTAATCGTGGGGTTAGAGGTAACAACGCGAACACTAGTACTAACAGCATTCAGTTTTGGCAACCGCATCCACAACAAAGTTTCTTGAAGAAATCGTTAGTTTCCGATCATGGATTTGGCGGCGGCGGCGGCGGTGTTGGTTCGGCGTCAACGTCTGGGTCCACCCTGACTTGTCAAGACTGCGGAAACCAAGCCAAGAAAGACTGCAACCACCGACGGTGTAGAACTTGCTGTAAAAGTAGAGGTTTTGATTGTGCTACCCACGTGAAAAGCACTTGGGTCCCCGCCGCTCGCCGTCGCGAACGTCAGCTCATGCCATCCACCGGCGGCGCTACAGCAGGTTCCTCGGCGTCTACTTCCGTCACCAAGAAACCTCGACTCACTTCGCGCACCGCGACTCCGTCACACACTTCAACGTCAAATACCACACCTCCAAGAAGCTTCGACACTAGTTCTAGTCATCATCACCAAGGTAATTGACAAACCATCATCTTTAGTTAATGGCGGAATTATATCGCTTCATCATTTTATGGGGCACTCACAAAATGGTTTCTTTAAATCTTAGATCCAAGTTTTATGCAATCATTGCCGGTTCAAGTGCGTGCTCCGGCGGTTTTCAAGTGTGTGAGAGTAACGGCTGTAGAAGACGGAGACGACGAATATGCATACCAAGCGTGCGTGACAATCGGTGGTCATTTGTTCAAAGGGTTCCTCTATGATCAGGGAGCTGGAACAAGAGACAATTCCAACATACCAAATTTATCTGAATTGCATTTGGGTGGTGGCGTAGGACGCAATGTAGGTGGTTCTTTATCTTCTCAACCACTTGAACCACCTCCGGTTTACGGTTCCTCCGGTGGCGGATTGCTTGGTTGACACCATTATTAATTACTGATATTTATCTTGTATTTTTTTCAGTTAAGCCCAAAGTTTCATGGAATCCCTATGTCTTTGTACTATTTGTTGTCCAATCAAATTGCTTGACAAAATCCGGGTATCATGTGTGCATGTTTTGTGCGAAATCCCCGCAAAACACGTTAATTTGCGACTTGTTTTGTATATGTTGCGACACGCAACCTATTCTAGTGAAATAGTTTTTAGTAAGGTTACTATTTTTGATCCATAGGCCTTTTCCGCACCGAGCTTATAATCTACTTATAATCTACTAAAAACTAGTAACCTTATTACAAGCTCGGTGTCAAAAAGGTAGCTCGGTGCCAAAAAGGTGCCGAAAAGGCTGATGGATCAAAAGCTCGGTGCCCAAATCCCTACAAAACAGAAAATCTCGTTTAATACTACATGCTTCTAGCGTTTAGTTTAAAAAAATGTTTAAAAAACAAATGCTATTTCACGTAGTGTTTAACAAATCGTCATCCTCTACAAGCTTCGTGCCACCTGCTACCAGTTATTTTTGCCAAATACATCATTAGTACGATATCAAAGAAGTAAAATTAACAAGGCCGTCTTAGTACCACATCAACGAAGTAAAGTTATCAAAGGTGGGGAGACATCCGTGAAGTAAAATTATCAAGGCCGTCTTAGTACCACATCAACGAAGTAAAGTTACCAAGGTGGGGAGACATCCGTACCCATGATTCTGTATGTATGTATATATATATATATATATATATATATATATATATATATATATATATATATATGTGTGTGTGTGTGTGTGAAACTTTTAAGATCTAGAGTATCCAAAAAGTTATTAATCTTTCAGTGTTGGATCAAACGATGTGGATTCTTCTAATCAGCGATGGGAGATAAGGCATCGAGGTACTAATCTTTCACTAGCATCCAAGTCAATTTGGTAATTGTTAGCGAATACTTCTAGATGAGTTCAAGCTCTTGTCATATATCACTCCATAAACTTCCAACCTCCTTTAAGGAAGTAAAGACTTAAAATGTTGTTATTATTGATTCCTATGGTTGTATTAATCTTTCTATACATGCAAAATGATCCTCGATGAAAATAAAATAGTTTTATGTTATGTGAACTTATAATGCTTTCGTTGTCAATTTTATCGTTTTAGAAATTGAAATTTATATTAAAACCCAATAATTTGTATCAGAACCATTTTTTCATGCATGGTTAGATTATAAGATTATTTGGATAATCTTTGTTTTTTTAAAACATAGATGATTTTCTTTTGTAAAAAAATATCATACATATTCTCTATGAAAATTTTAAAATGTTTATAATTGTTATTTTATGTGACCACAGTTAACTTGTATTTTTTGGTCATAAAAGTTATCTTAAAAAAACAAAGTGTTGTTTTTAAGTAGATCTGTATTTAAAGTGCATAAACTAGTCATTGTGTTGAATTGTTAAGTAAGTTGGAATATTTATTTATGCATATGGAATATAATAATTAAATAGATAGTGTTCATCTTATTTATTTTTATAAGTAATAGATTAGTATTAAACTAGTTTACTTTATATAAAAATATAAAAGGATTGAAGATGGTGTACATTTTAGCAAACAACCATGTTTTCGATTTTAAAGAGTTTTTAAAACTCTTCATGAATTTTTCATGAACTTGTTGTAAGGAGTAGTTTAAGCAAGTGGGAGCATAAAGAATATCATGAAAGATTTTGTCACTTATGTCCCTTAAGAATGAACTTGATATTTTTGTGATGATTTGTAAAATTTCATTAGTTTATAGCTTGCTTTATGCACACATATTATTCTTGTGATGTTTGCTTTTATATTTATATTATTGCTTGGTTCATAAAAAAAGATTATGACTGATAGATAATACATTGAACATAAAAAACAATCATATGGAGTTTTTTTTAATAAAATTTTCTTTTAAACATAAGATATAGAAAATGAGTTTTATAATTTAAAAATCTATAATGACAAAGTTTGATGATTAAAATTATAATTTTGAAATTGTGATTTTAGAAACTTATTCAAACTCCAAACCTTAAATAATAAAATGTAGTTTTATTAAAAGGTTTAAAAATGGTTTTTAGCACTCCAACGTCAAACTTTAATATAAAACATTAATTGTAAAATTTGAATGCGTCAAAATATAAAATTGGATTTTATAAAGAACCTAACAATAAAATATGATTTTAACAAAAGATATCATTGCTTAGTGAATGCATGCAAGATTTATTGTATCACATGTTTTAAAAAACTAGAATTATAAAACATATAAAGTCCTTTTTTCAAAATGCAAACCTGTTCCATCCTTTTCAAAACACTTGCACGACACTTGTACAATACTTGTGGGATAAAGGATACCTAAATGCTTTTATTATCTTTTGATGGTCGAGGCGGTTTTGGTATTTCTAGTGGGATAAATGATACCTAACCACTAGTTATGTGTCACTTCCAAATGCTTTTTCTAATTGGATGATTTGATTGAGAATCTTTTACGATAAAGGACATCTAACTTTAAGAGACTCGATGCATATATGAGATCAAACATGTCAATTAACAAAAGTTGTTAGCGATCCCATAACCCTATGAATTGTATTGGAATATAACTCATAACTGCTATCTACCTTGTTGGATAAAATAAATGAGATAAAAGTTACCTAATTATTTATTGGTTTTGCAACTTGGGTCCTAAACTTTAATAATTAATGTTTTAGATACATAAAGGGTATTAATTATTAAATATTTAAATATTTTTAAAACTAAATGAATTCTTGCAAAATTTTTGTACATATCCCAAAGTGCGAATACCCCGAATATCTTACGCCTACAATCCATCCTTAATAAGAAAAACTATACACTAACAACTTCCTTACTTAACATCAAAGATTAAGAATGGTTCTCAGACGCAAGGGAAGTTGTATATACTTATCCATCTACTTCCCGTTGATCCTCCTCTTGCATATATATAAGTTCATAAAACACGGTAAAAACATTTTGATGATTCAATCGATGTATCATGCCTTATAGTGGGCCCATAGTTAACAATGAAAATGCATATATTGGGCTCTTCAGGTATTTATATGATATAATGCTTACTTTTCATCTAATACGCGATTACTTGATAATAAGTATTAAACTAATATTTGTATATGTGTTATAGATGTTCAAGAAGAGTAAGAGGTTGAGAACAAGCAAGTTTTCACTCCACTTAAACCAAGAACCAAACGTTAAAGACTAAAGCATTTGGAGTTAATTATTTATATTTTGAACATAAAGGAATTGTATTGTAAAACAATGTTTGTTTTAAACAATATATGTTAAATTTAGTTTGACTAAATATATGTCTCAGTTATATGATTAGATGATTGATAATTTGTTTAATCATTTTGTAACGATCACATTCATATTCTGAAATGATTATTCTTATTTTGACAATTAGATCTCTTAATATAATTATAAAGTAAATATCAATGTTTTCTAAGCATTACATCTATAATAAAGTGATCGAAAGCACAACCTTCAATGAAGATGATGATTTTATGGTCAAGCCAAAGAAGAAATATGCAACTGAGAATACAGAGTTTAATCAAATGGATTTTCCAGTTAATTACTCTTTGTTTGTATTCTCGCAATTTAAACTTGCTGAGAATTACCAGGACAAGGAGGAATTCAAAAAGCTGAAGATTCGTTTTCATGGAGTATTGGGGAAGAGAGAAGAGGAGTTATGGTCACTGGTGAAAATAGTTAAGTTCGTATCCATCACTCCTGATGTGTTATTCGAAGGGTTGTAGAATTTTCATTAGAAGGTGGTTCGTTCAAACAATGTACCTTTTGAGTTCACGATTGTAGATTTCCCTCTCATAAACGTGAATGATCTTGTTTAAACTATTATTTTAATGGGTGATCTTAAAAAGACTGATATTCCAAACCAAACAACTTATGTTCTTCGATATGGGCATCTCAAGACTTTTCTGGATTCTTATTTTGCACATCTAGCTCTGACAGACATCGATCTTTCTACTCGCTTCAATAGAAGATCGAAAGTTCCTAAGGCATTGCTAAAAGTAAAAATAAGCATAAAGGATTATGAAGATGGAGAGATTGTGCATGATCCTCATGGTGTTGTGTTTCTTGGAAAAGGGAAGAAGGAGAGCAGGAAAAAGTTCTTGTTTCGTGTTGATGATGTGGGAAAGGTATTCAAATTCACATCTTAGCAGTATCCTACCTCGAACCAACAACTGCCAGAAAAACGAGAATGGAGACAAAGCGAAGATCAGGAAGATTATTCAATGGTATATGAAGATACTAGAAGTTTTGCTACAGATTGTAAAGATTCTACCTAAAGTTTGATAATTCATCTTTTCTCACAAAAGGGGAGAATGTTAGGATGAAATTGGTTGTGATAAGTCGAATTGGTAGCTATTTTTATGCAAAGTGTCTATAAATAACGAATGACCATATGTATTCATTATCCTAATGTATTTAGTAGGCATCATGATGTTTTGTACTATCATCTATACTCAGTATTTTTTGTTCCGTGAGTACCCTATAAATATGATGAGTACTAAGAGGGTAGATTAACTTTCAAATTAGCATTTGATCACTTGTACTCTTATTCTCTCTGTACTGTTCTGGATACAATGAGCTGAAAACCAGATCTTATTTAGATCGACATGTTCTTATTTGGTTTCCATAATCAATTGACCTCAACACATTTCAAACAACTTTGCAAACTGAAACTACAAAGAGCTAATAGTGTTTTGAAGCCAAAGAATGCAATTTACATACACTTTTACTGTTCCTATTGACAAACTACAAAAGAGCTAATAATGTTTTCTAAATGATTTGTGAACAGTTTCTGTTTTTGAATAACTGTTATTTAGCTTCAACAATTTCTTGTTGAAAACTAGTGTCAACTTTTTCTACATCAAGTTGTGGTTCTTGATCTTCTTAAAGTTGCATATGTCTCCCAAAATCCCGCTCACTTTTCCATTAGAAACTTGTTTTCTAAGAACTCAACTTTCAGAGAAACAAAGATCTTATCTTAGTGGGATTGCAGAAGTAATAGC